ATTTATTCATTCCTTATCAAAGTTTTTGTAAGCATTTATGTAACATTTGAAATATGTAAGTTTTTCCCAGTTTTTCTCATTTAAATATTCAAGTTTCTTTATATTTAATTATACTTACAAACATTCCAATTTCAATTTTACGTACAAAACAAAAATAAATAAACATAATTTCATACTTTTTTTTCCATAAAACATCTATAAATTTGTAACTTTCTTTTAACAAAAGATAGAATTTTAGATAATTATATTAGTTTTCAAATTTAGTTTTAATTACAAAAATCTTTAATACAATAATTAATAATAGTAAACAGTAATCTTATTAAAAAATATACTTAAAATAGAATAAGACTTGACCGAAATACCGGTTTTAGGAAGTTATTCGAGGAAGTTTCGTATCGATTCGGGTAGGAACCAATTGAAATGTTTAAAGCGCTTGAACTGCCCGAGGTTCATCTCTTTTTCCCCCTTGGGGATTAGGTCAACTTCTTCGTAATTCCATCGAATTTAACAAACAAACAACAACAAGAAAAAACGAAGCAAGCGCACGTCATCGGTGATCAGTCTATAATTACGTAACGGACGGCTCATTAACCGGCCAATCTATTAACCTCGTGCCGCCTCAGCCAATTTGCGTTTCAGAACGATAATTGGTATCGCTTGGCATCCATCTATTAACACAGCCCACTAAATCGATTTCTAGGTATTTTCACCTTATATTTTTTTTATATACAGTGGAACCTCGCTTAACGAACAAAATGAATTNTAAGAAAAATGACTCAATTTATACAGTGGAACCTCGCTTAACGAGCAAATAATTACTAAGAAAAATGACATTAGTTTATATGGGGAAAATTGTTTCACTATACGAGTAAAAATCCGAAAATTGTGGAATTTCGCTTAACGAGCAAAATAAATTGTAAGAAAAATGATCAGTTTATATGGGGAAAATTGTTTCACTATACGAGTAAAAATCCGATTCCATTGTAAAATGGAACGCAGTATCGTATACTACATTGGTTTATATGGGGAAAATTGTTTCACTTAACGAACAAAATAAATTGTAAGCAAAATGGAACGCATTATATGGGGAAAATTGTTTCACTATACGAGTAAAAATCCGGAAATTTTGGAACGGATTATTCTCGTTAAGCGAGGTTCATTGTATTTGAAATTAATTAAAAAATATTTCTATAAATAAAAAAGTTAAGTGTTTCGAATGGAATGATTTATTATACGTATAAAGCAGATGCGGTGTATGATTATAGTTTGCAAAACTTGAGGAATGCAATGAGTGGACAAAAGGAAGTTTCGAGTCGTGCCAAAATCCATACCGTCCTCTGCAGATGCCGAATTGGATGCGGCAGTGGAGCAAAAAAGAAATAAACCAGAAAGAGAGAAAGAGACCACCCAAAATCCAGTTACGAAAAGCAACACTCGAGTCGGTCGATAATAGATTAGTTCCACACAGAAGATCATCGTTCGGACGTTTCATTAAAGTGCAAATTGCAAAAAAAAATGTTATGTCGTTGTCGCCAGAGCTACGGAAATCTAAGTTTTCGCAGGGTTTGAAATTATTGCTTCCGGCTTGGCTTTTCCGGTGGAGGTAAGTTGTTTATATGGATGAGAGCTGTATCATATCTGCCCCTTTTCCGAGCAATTTCATAAAGCCATGATTTACATGGAAAGTTTTCACCCCAATTTCTGCACGCAGTTTGCAAATGGTAGAAGCCACACAAATCATCGTCATGATTTTCCAAAATCCTTGCATTTATTTGCTTATATCATTCGTTTTACATAGCTTTTGACAAAGTTTGGCATCTTGGACTACTATACAAAATATATCCTTTATTTTATATATTTATGTCTTTCTAAAAACATTTTTAATTATTTACCTACAATAGTTGTGACAAAAAAGTAAACTTTTGTCCAGCATTTTTTCTTTATTTGAAGCATAATTTTTCTGATTTTCTATAAAATTTGTTATAATTTTGCTAATATTTTTTGTCACTACTCACATTTCACTGTAATAAATTACATATTACATATTATAAAGAAGAAAATTCTTTAACAATCCTTTATTTTATATATTTATGTCTTTCTATAAACATTTTTAATTATTTAACTACAATAGTTGTGACAAAAAAGTAAACTTTTGTCCAGCATTTTTCACTTTAATTATAGAAACTAGATCAAAAAAAACTTAATTTTATATATTTAATCTGACTTTTTATAAACATATTCTTACAAATAATAAAAATTTTACAACATACAAATTATACAAAGGTTCCAATCAAAATGCTTAAGAAACATTATTACTTTAAATCTATCTATGAAAAAGAGATTATATTAAAAAATACTTTATTTAATATTTGGAGCATAATTTTTCTGATTTTCTATAAAATTTGTTATAATTTTGCTAATATTTTTTGTTACTACTCACATTTCACTGTAATAAATTACATTAATTATTATTTAAACCTATTATAAAGAAGAAAATTCTTTAACAATCCTTTATTTTATATATTTATGTCTTTCTATAAACATTTTTAATTATTTAGCTACAATAGTAGTATAAAAGTTACAACATATTTTTTTACATGTTTTGTAATGATAATGACAAAAAAAATACAAATAGAAAAGAAGAAATAATGAACAAATTATTTATTAATATTAATAATTAAGACTATTCTCCTATAATTACTAAATTTAAGTTGAAATTTTCTCTATTATTGTTCTAAAAAGAAATTGGTTTTCATATTCGTACAATTCGATTTTCCAATAGAGTTTATTAAAGTCGACAACCGAGTTATATAATAAACAAAAAAATTTCTTAATTTTTTTTATATTATATTGTGAATTTAGTAGTGAAACAAGCAGTCATGAAATTCCATCTGCAATAAACGTAAAATAAAACGACCGCAAACACATCGTGATCAGAATATAAAGAAAAAAATAAAAATAAAAGTGAAATTTTATTGTGTTCAGGGGTTATTCGCGTTGGGACAGATGAAAATTCCTGAACGGATCTGTTTCGCATATTCGTATCGAACACGGAAATATGGCACAAATATTTATATGGTTTTTCTTCAATTTCGGTTTCGAGTACAGCCGCAATTTTCTCATATTTTTATATATGTGTAGAGTTATATATTTATATGTGTGTGTGGGGGGGGGTTAGTGGATATTTCCCAGAAGGTCCGGAAAATCTAATAACTATAAATTCAACTCTTCACCGTTTAAGGATCTTCGGGGACACGGCTCAAATTGAAACCGCGCGATAAAAGGTGATTTACAATCGTATCAATATTATATAGCATGGAAAATTTCAATATTTTATACATACAAATGAAAATAGAAGAGAAAGAATACACAATAAGAAAACAAATCTTGAATAATTTTATTTACTAATCTTAATTAGACTTTGATTTTTACGTCTTTTTTTATATAAAGTCTTGTAGAAAAAAGTGTTATATATAAATAGCAGAAATAACTGAATTTAAAGGAAATATTTACTCTAGTAAAGAAATTTTCAAACTAGAAGGCGTTAGAAGTATAATTTAAAAAAATATATTTAAAATTTAGATTTTTCATATATACAATTTAACATTACTAGGCGCCAAAGATTATACTTAACATTAACTTAAAGTGTGGAATCTAATCTATTTAAAAAAATAAGCTAAAAGTCTTCTCTTTTTTTTTTAATTTTGCTACAGAGTTTGGAGGAATAAAATTTTACCATTTTTTATAAATTTTCAGTTAATTACATTAATTATACTTTAAATCTATCTATGGAATAGAAACTATATTAAAAAGATACTTTATTTAATATTTGGTGCATAATTTTTCTGATTTTCTATAAAATTTGTTATAATTTTGCTAATATTTTTTGTTACTATTCACATTTCAATGTAATAAATTACATTAATTATTATTTAAACCCATTATAAAGAAGAAAATACATTAACAATCTTTTATTTTATATATTTCTATCTTCTCTAGACATTTTTAATCATTTTGCTACAATAGTTGTGAAAAATAAGTAAACTTTTCTCCATTTTTCACTTTAATTATAGTTTAATTATAGAAACTAGATCAAAAAATACTTAATTTTATATATTTAATCTGACTTTTTATAAACATTTTGTTACATACAATGAAAAATTTACCATTTCTTTTAAAAAATTTCAATTAATTATAGTTTAAATCAATCAATGAAAAAGAAAATAATTTTAATAATGTAAATGCGTATCTGATTGTTCCCTTTATTTTTGTCATCTCGCGTTTAATTTGATTAACTTCTATTTATCATTTATCTTTAACTAACAAATACATCAAAGAAACTAATAATTCTACTAAAATCTAATTGAAACTAAATAAATGTGAAAAATTGATATTACCAATGTTCATTTTATTGCATTTGAATTTAAATTTCTCACCATATCAAGAAAGAAAACTAAAATTTAACAAATTTTTAAGTGATTCTTGTGGATCGAATATTTATAATAACTGACTTTCTATGTACGTTTCTAGAATTACAGAAAACTATAATTTTATCATATTGAACACCTGCGAAACACCTGCATTTGAATTGAACACCAGCGCTCGAATTGTACACCTGCACTTGAATTGAACACCTGCGCTTGAATTGAACACCTGCTCTTGAATTGAACACCTCCGTTTGAATTGAACACCTGCGAAACACCTGCATTTTAAAAGAACACCTGCGTAAACAGCCGACTTATAATATGGAAGAAATAACTTAAAACTTTAACAATTCTAGAAATTAAGGATTGTTCAATTGTATTACTAATATTCCTGTAATTGAACAATTTCAATTTTAATTTGCTTAATTTCGTAATTAAAAAACGAAGAAAATTAAAAAAAATACTTTAATATATATATTGAGAGTTTTTTTTTATAACTTTCTATATACATTTTAATAATGCTGCTATAAAGTTTGAAATAATATAAATGCATGTCTGAATGTTCCCTTAATTTTTGTCATCTCTCATTTAATTTGATGAACTTTTATTTACCATTCCAATTTGCCGTACCTCATCTAGAGAAGTCCCTTTGTTCTTGTTCTCCCCTTTTCGGATTTAATCACCTTATTCATGATACAGCAGCCTTAAACATTCCCGTCACGTTAATCGTCCTCTTTTTATCCTTTCTCTCCTCTCCTGTATATTCTCTTCTTTCATTCATGTTTTCTCTCTTTCACGACTCGAATGCGAATTAGATTTATTACGTACAGCTGAGAGATGTAATTTTAATAACGCGCCGGAAAATAATGCGAACTGCCGCCAAATTACCGAGCTGCTTTTAGATCATTTACATCTTAATTAAGCGGAGTCGCGTCGACAGCGTCGAGAAGCATCAACATTTTACGTGCCTACACGCACATTTTTTATTTACATCAATCTCTTTCAGACTAACACTTACTTATTAAACATACATTTATCATTTTACATCTTTATTTCAACATTTTGTTATGTATAACCGTTATTGTTTATATTATGTTAGCTGTTACTATTTTATACATGTATATGTAAATAAGTCATTATGATTTAGTACAAATACCACATAGGAAGATCTCATAACTAATCATTGTATAATGACTATTCTTAATTACTATATTTAATCAACATGTTGTTAACAAATTCAAAGGGTCAATCGATAATTCACAATTTTAGCACGTTTTCTATAAATTTAGATTTAGTATTGAATCTAAACTAGAAATTAGATTAATTTTAGTTTTCACATCAATATTTAATTATTTTTTTGTTGAAATTTATTTAATTAATTTTTTTTATTCATTTTAGAGTATGTTTTTGGCTTATATTTGATGTTCAGAAATTACTGCTGCTTGTAAGCACTTCCTTACTTCGACTGTAATACTTGTGAGAACAGCACTTTTGCAGAACTTTATTGCGGACGAAGTTTAATACTACATTTAGCAAGATAAATTGCCCGTCGTGAGACTTCGCTTCGATCTTTATAAATATTTCAATGAAAAACAAAAAGGGAAAGATGAAAAAAACATGAAAATATCGCAAGCCACTGAAAACGTTTCATGTCCAATATTGGAGTTGTTTCAACTCAATTTGATACAAAATGGGATTCGACTTCGAACACGGTGGATGCGCCGGGGTTTATATATTTTATAACGTTGATATTTTCATTTATTCACTGTTTTATTATTGATTTAGATATTTTATTGAATTTTTATCAAATTTCTTAAAATCTTGGTATTTTTATGATAAATTGGACATAAAATAATGAAAAATAAACTTAAATATAAAGAAAAGGTTATTTGTATAGTGAATATGTACATTGGTTCAGGTTTTTGTTAATAATTATATAGAAAAATTAAGTTTTTCTTAAGTGGAATAAAATTTAGTACAAATTCCAAAAAAAATTCAAATACTAAAATAGTTTTGTTACTTTTGAAACTATATAAAATAATTAAAGTTACAAATTTACAAAAAGCTGAAGTTGGAGTTTTTATGATAATAAACACTTTATTATTCACTATAAGATTTTTAATAACTTCTATGTTTAGCTAGATTTGTTACTAGCTAACTAAGATTAGCGACTAGCTAGAACTATGTCTATCCATGACTTGGACAAATTTAACAAAATCAAATAAATTAACAATAATTTATTGTTATTAATAATAAAAGTGTATCACAAGGTGACCAAGCTCCGAAATAATTTAAAAATGTTATTGTAAAAATTTTCGATATAGACGGGATTTTGATATAGTCGGGATTTTGTTATAGTCGGGATTATGTTTGTCGGGTTGTCGAGATTCTGATACAGTCGGGATTATGGTTGTCGAGATTTTGATATAGTCTGGATTATGGTTGTCGGGATTTCGATAGATATAGACTCATTTGAAAATGTTATTTTTTGTTACATCCAAATAATTTATAATTAACCTACATTAAATGAAATCAAAATTTTTAATTATAAAATGCGGTAAAATTTAGTTTTCTTTCATATGGAAATAATCCTTTCAGCTTTATTCATATTTCTTTCAATGATTTTGTAAACAAACGTGGATGAAAAACTTGCATGTACAAAGGGAATGAATTGGGAACAAAGGACTGCGTAAATAAAAGATGTAAATGTTGTAGGAATGGATCAAGTCTGAAGGATCTTTCTGCACTTGACCTTCACCGCATAAAATACGAAGAACAAAGTTTTATGGGGCATCAATTGAAGCCTTTCCTCTTCTTTATTTCGTGGGCATAATTTTTTTTTTTTCTTCTTCTACTTTTTCTCTTTGCCATTCATTCTTTCGGTTCTCCTCTGGAGACTTATTTTAAAAGCAAATCTCCGGTTCGCGTAGCCCGAGCAGCGTCTGTATCAATCCGAATAAATAACCTCATCCATTTGGAAACTATCGATTCCCATCGACGTCGCCGCGGATTTTTCTTTTTTCTTCACTGATTCACTCCCAGTTTTTCACTTCACTCCGCATTTCTGCAATGCACACATCAATATCGAATGGATAAAAACTGTGTGAGATAGCATATTTACTTTACACTTTAACCATTAACTTAATTTTATTACACTACACCTTATTGAAAATCTACCTTTAAAAGAATTTAAAGTAAATTAGAGTAAAAGTAATTTCAAATAACGCAAATTCAAGATACATGAAAGAAAAACTATTTTCAATGAAAATTGAATTACATTTATAAAATTGATCAAATCTGTTAATTATTTTTACTTTTTTGTATAAATTTTATAATTTTGTAAACAAATTTTCAAGTTTTAAGTGCATACTTTATTAATATATACATTTTTTTTAGGAATAATTAAAAGAAAAGTTTATACATTTTATACAGATGTATTTTNNNTTAATGTGCTTGAATTGAACACCTGCGTTTGAATTAAACACCTGCGTTTGAATTGAACACCTGCATTTGAATTAAACACCTGCATTTGAATTAAACACCTGCGCTTGAATTGAACACCTGCATTTGAATTAAACACTTGCACTTGAATTGAACACC